ACGCCGATTACAGGTCGAGTTTCCACCAATGACGTTAGGTAAGGTTTTCGTGAAAGTACTAATGTCCGATATGAATCTACTAAAGTTGAATCATTTGTAATGTTCGAAATTTATAAATATTCCTGGTCAAATATCTCAAGTTCTACGATTGATAAGCGTTATAACAATCACAGTTATAGCTTCCGAAACTTATATCACACCAACTAGAGCAAACTAATGATAGATAATGTTTTTGACGCGTCGCATGGTTATATTTATAGGCGTGTGGAGAGTTTCTAGAAAATTCAGATTACGTAACAATAAAAAACTACACTGGCGTTTACGTACAAACATATATTGTTGATTCTTAAACTCGAGAATTTTCTACAACTTTAGAGAGTAGGCGGGAGTTTTGCAGTATATATATTTAACATTATAAGTTATTTACATTTCTAACTATAAATTAACTTTAAACAAACATCGATATTCAAATAAATACAGAATAATAAATCCGCCACACTATGATACTAACCTATCAATATAACGATGATACTAACCTATCAATATAACGATGATACTAACCTATCAACATAATGATGATACTAACCTAACAATATAACGATGATACTAACCTATTAATATAACGATGATACTAACCTATCAATATAACGATGATACTAACCTATCAATATAATGATGATACTAACCTACCAATATAACGATGATACTAACCTATTAATATAACGATGATACTAACCTATTAATATAATGATGATACTAACCTATTAATATAACGATGATACTAACCTATCAATATAACGATGATACTAACCTATCAATATAATGGTGACACTAATCTATCAATATAACGATGATACCAACCTATTAATATAATGATGATACTAACCTATTAATATAACGATGATACTAACCTATCAATATAACGATGATACTAACCTATCAATATAACGATGATACTAACATCGTTATATTGATAGGTTAGTATCATCGTTATATTAATAGGTTAGTATCTTCGTTATATTAATAGGTTAGTATCATCATTATATTGATAGGTTAGTATCATCGTTATATTGATAGGTTAGTATCATCGTTATATTGATAGGTTAGTATCACCATTATATTGATAGGTTAGTATCATCGTTATATTGATAGGTTAGTATCATCGTTATATTGATAGGAGTTACATTTCTGTAATAACTTGTAATATATCTGTGAAATATAAAATATTAACTCATTTATAATATATATATATTAGTTACATTTCTGTAATAACTTGTAATGTATCTGTGAAATATAAAATATGAACTCATTTATTATATATATATTAGTTACATTTCTGTAATAACTTGTAATATATCTGTGAAATATAAAATATTAACTCATTTATTATATATATATATATTAGTTACATTTCTGTAATAACTTGTAATGTATCTGTTTCTATTTTTCTAACTGGGCACGGTGTATGTTAATGGGCTTTATATTCATTAATTAGAGAACGCATTTAATAACCATAATACGTTTTCTAAGAGTAATAGGTGTGACAATACTTCACAGCAAGACCTAGTTGAGTTTTGATTTTTAGAGACGTCGTTTCGAATCACGAGACATCAATCAGCACTGAGTAACACGCCTGAATTGGCGTGATCCCATTCAGGCTAATGACTATAACAGAGATTGCAATATGAAAAATAAATTTAATTGCGTTATTCTAGCTGGACATATACTGGGATTTCCAGTGAGAATATATTATAAAATCGTGTTTATTAAATGACGATCAGTGTTCGCGTCAATGCCAGAACTCATCAGGATGGCTGGGTTACAAAACAAGGGGCATTAACCCACGTTTATTTTACTCCTTTAAAAGAAACATTATACTAAACATGTTTACTTGTTTATTTATTGAAAACCTATTGTTAGGTTAGTATCATCACGACATTAATAAGATATTATTATATTGTTAGGTTAGTATCATCGTTATATTGATAGGTTAGTATGATATGATAATAATATATATAATAAATGAGTTAATATTTTGTATTTCACACGTATTATAGTTATTATACTGGATGTAGTTATTTATATATCAAATTAATCTTTCAAATTCTTACATCGAACTTGTTAACCGGATGTAGGATTTTAACCCAATAACTGACATAGTTAATATGTAGTCGTTTATAAATAAAACTCTTTATGGTCAGATTCATCACTTGTTCTGTTATCAGTGTACACACTGTCCGCAAGTCCATCCTAACGTGTTTTCTCACGTCAGTAAATGAACTGTTTAAAACATCTGAGATCAGAATGTTACGACAGCGGAAGTCACATGACGCTGGTAACACGTGATGAGTTTCTGGAAGTATCATGAAGGCCCGAGTGCATTCTAGACGCCCTCTTTTTTGATATATAAGCCCGGCAAATAAAGCGGAGATATAATTGCAGATAGATAGATATAGAGACAGATAATTGA